CACCTCTCATCCCACTCCTGGAACTGCTCATCTGTCAGAATCAGCGAGGCGAGGCATCTGCAGTCATGAGGTAACAGGTCGTAAAAATAAAAGGTGATTTTTATTAATTGCTGGAAGTAGAGAGAGCCTAAACCATCCTCATTTACTGCCCGTCTCAAATCTTTAATTGCGTCATATGTCAGTGGTCTCCATTTGGGATTCTCATTTTGTCTGCCATGTTTTGTTGTCTTTGATTTTGTTGATGCCATGTCAAAATCTCCTTCCTTTAATGTTTTTCTTCTAATCTCTGCCCAGTTGGTAGAATTTGCTATGTCTCTTGATGGATCTTTTGTATTATTATTTGAGATGGCTTCTGGAATCTAAGGAAATGGGACAAAATCTGTTTTGTATTTTGCGGGTTTGTGTCCTGCAAAGATGTTCTTTCTTTAAGTTTCGAGGCTGTATTCACTCCTTCCCCTTGTGAAAAACACGTTCACTCTCCTGTGAAAATTTAAAAGGTTAATTAAAGGGCAATAAGAGACAAGGACCATAGAGAAAAGGTTATTATGGCTGGGGGCATTTAGAAATAAAAACCATATATTTATGACAAAGTTATTTTAACATCACACATAAAAAATCAATTTTCATATTTGTGAAAAGCCAATATTATAATATGTATTATGACACATACTTATATGTATTATAGTATATATAGCATACTATAACACTAATAGTATATATTATATATTATATTATATTATATTATATTATATTATATTATATTATATTATATTATATTATATTATATTATATTATATTATATAGTATATAGTATATATACTATTTCGCTGCTATGTCTAAGCTAAATTAACAGTAGAAATGGAAGCTATATCTTCATAACAAAGTGATTTTAACATGACACATATAAGATCCATTTTAATATTTGCGAAAAGCCACTATTGTAATGTGTATCCATAACACCCCTCTGTATGAGGAATTGCTGGTTGCATTTATTGCTGTGTATTAGAATTGGAGGGTGCAATAATAGATATGGCCAGAGGAGGCGCTGCAGCAGGAGGTTTAGCGTCTTGTTATCACAAAATGACGTCAGCGGAAGTACGTTATAAATTGCGGAAGTGCAAAGGCGCCGCCATTTTCCCGTACGGAATAGGTGTGCGGGGCGCCGCCATTATGTGGGAAGGGCACAATGAGTGTCTGGGGAACTCCCGCGGAACAGCCATGGTGAGTGATTGACAGGCCGGGAGGCGGGGCCACGGGCGGGGCCGGAATGGCCGGAGGGAGCTGCGGGCTGGGGAGCGTTGGCTCCGAGCTTGGGTGTGTGAGAGAGCGGGCGGGGAATGGACACCCCGCGCCGCAGCTATGGGCAGTAAAGAAGCGCTGTTTGCGATCTCTGGGTCTGTGGGCATTAAAGAAGCCCTGTTTGTGATCTCTGGTCCGAGATTCCATCCGCCCGTCCCGAGGGAGCCCTGTCCTCCCGCAGCCTCCGTCTGCCCTGCCAAAGCCACGTTTGTGACTTAAAAACCGCCGCGGGTCGCGCTCCGCTCCCCCCGGGCAGAAGGGAACGGCCTTTTGCGCTGTTTGCGGTGGTTTTGCGTACCCGTGGCGGTCCGTGCGGTCCCTGGCTGCGCAGGTTGCGGACCCTGCACCCTTTGCGTACCCGGGGCGGTCCGTGCGGTCCCTGGCTGCGCAGGTCGCGTACCCTACGCGCTTTCCGCGGTCCCAGGTGGCCGCGCACCGGGACAGGCCCTCCCGCTCCAGGGCTGCTCCTCGGCAATTCGGGGCGTCCCCCGGCTGTGGGGAGCGCCTCGCAGGGCTGGCATGTCCCCTGTCCCTGGGGGAGCCGCGGGGAGCGATCTGTGCAGACGCTGCTGGAGCGGGGGCAGGGGCCTGCCCGTCCCGCCGCTCATGGCCGCACAGGCTGAGGGGCCGCACGGGCCGAGGCTGGGCGCTCTTTGGGGCGCTAATTATCTCATTAGCCTCTTGTGCCGCTTCTGTGCCTGGCTTCGGCTGGCTAGAACCTCACAGATCACCCTACATGCTAGAAGAAGTTTTGCTGCTGCTGCTGTGTTAAGCGTAGCAACATTGTATGGTCTTACAGAGTCCCAGAGAAAGGGATTTAAAAGAGCCCCTGGATCTGCGTTTGGAAACTGTTCCTGCACCCAGAGTAAAAGATCTTTCAGTGAGCACAGCCCTGGGATGATCCCTGCCCAGTGAATCTAGGACATCTAAGGCGTCTCTTTCTGATCTAGATATTACGTTTCCCATTGTGTGTGATTAACCCTGCAGAACATTAATCCTACCTGACTTTTCGCTGTCCGTTTCTCCTCCTCGGTTCCCGTCTCGTGGGTCTCCAGCATCCACGTTCTGCTCCAAACCACTTCACCAGCGTCCAGGGATTTCCAAGTTCTTTTTTCTTCCCTTTTTCTTCTTTCTTTTCCCTGGGATTTTCCAGCTCGCAGCTGCTGTTTCTTCAGAGAGGTCCAAACCTCCACAGGTGTCCCCACACCAGGGCACCCCTCACTGCTGGCTCTTGGCTTTGTGTTTGCTCTGCCAAGGCCAGGGTTGAGGCGCCCCAGACGGTGTTCTTTGTTCAGACTCAGATGTTTATTATTTCTTATCTACATTACAAGTCCTGAGTTCTACAGCATTCTAGTAACAAGCTACAAAATGGCCAACTATCTTTCTCTACAAGGTCTTTTAAGGCTAAACTATCCAATTAAGAAATGACACCTAAATTGTTTTCACTTTTAACCCAATAACTAATCCCTTGTGTCCCGCACTGCGGACTTTTCTGTCCAATTACACAAAACCACCCAGACCCATGGAGAAGAAGGTGAAGAAGAAGGACCAGCCTCCGCCCTAAAACCTCCATCTTGCTCTACATATATTGTTAGATTCTAAACCCTTAAACTCTGAGTTTTCCACCCTGTGATATTACACACTTCTAATCAAACTCCACACACACAATCCCAGTTCTATCATTCCATTTTGGAAGCCTTCTCCATGGCCTCAGGTCAAATACTCTTGTGGGTTTGTGCCTTTCAGCACAGAAAGTTTAAAATTCTCAGCATCCAGTAATCCAACACCTAGACTGACATTTTTATAGCTACAATTAATGTCCATTTTCAGTTCCCTAATTTAGCACCTTTCTTGTCTGCTGACAAGAACATTTGATGCAGCAAGAAGAGAATCTGAAAAATTAGCTGCTGTCTTGTCAGATATTAGTTATTCCCCTGATCCGGCCTTGATGTTTATCCCTCCCTCTTTGAGTTTTCTTAATTATTTCTGTCTTGTATTAATTCTCACATAACTCCCTGGATGTAAGCTTTATGGTTTAGAATCTCAACTGCTCATTCAATTAATGGGCTTGCTTAATGTGCTTAAACTTTCCAGAGACGCTCGTGACACATTATGAGCGAGGGAAAAAAGATTCCAAGTCTGCTCCATCTCATTTGTGGTACTCCTGAGCCTGAAGTCCATTTTAAGCTCTTTATCAGATTATCTAGATTTATTATTTTTATATTCTTGTGTTCATTAAGCATTTATGTGGAGGAGTATTCTCTCCAGAAGAGGGACTGTGTTTCCTTTGCCCCATCCCTCATCACCTGGCTCTGTAAATGAGCAATTGTAGTTTCAGTACATTGAAAAGGATCTGAGAGGCTGAATTGAATATGGCAAATATGGAAGGACAGATCTTTTACTTCATATCTGAAAACTGGGTATTTTTTTAGCAAAACAAAGCATCTGCCAGAGGTTCTCTCTATTTTTCCTTGGCTCAGTAACTCCTAATCCCTGTTAATATCTGAAAAGATTTGAGGTTGGTTTGCAGAGGGAACCCAGCCTGTGTCTCAGCCTATTCCCCCCTGAAGCCTACATGAGTTATCTCAGTAATTCCAGGAAAGCAGAATTTAAACACGGGCTCAGCCACGCTCCCTCTGTGCCAGAGCCTTGGACAGGTGACACAGAGCAGCCCTGACAGGAGAACAAAGTGCATTCCAGGGACACAGCCACATCTCATCAGCTGTGGGCTTCAAAGATTAAAACCACTCTGAAACCATGGGCTCTGTGGGAAATGAGCTCCTCTCTGTCTACAAGGCAGAATGCAAACCAGATAAAGATAAAATACATGTACACATGCAGGTATGTAACTCATTTTATATGTATATAAACATGAATATTGTACATGAATAATATACATGAGTGTTATACATGGCTGGGTGTTTGTGTATCTAAAACTACACTGTTTGTATAGCTAAAACCACACACACACATATTTATAAATATATTAGAAACCCCTCCCTGACAAAGGAGTCCTGTCTTCCAGGATGCAGATTGAATTAGTTGCTACATCATGGTTTTATATAAATGAGATCTGTGCTCAGGACCTTCACTTTGTGCCAGAAGATCCCTGGAGCCAAGAGGGCAGATGAGTTGTAGTACACAGCCCACACGCTGCTTTTAGCAGAGATTTCATGGAATGCCACGGAGCAACTATGAATACATTTTGTTAAAACAATTACTGAGAAGTCCTAAAAAATAATGCTTCTGCTGCACTTCTGCTCATGAGCCATAAGGGGATCTTTGTCTTTCAGCATTACAGTGCTCAAGGAAAAGGGAAAAGATTCTGGTTTATGGTTCTGAGTCAGTCTTTTTCTTACTAACATATGGCCCCATTTTTCCTGGTTCTTTAAGCAAGTTGTAAACATAAACGTTGATGCACATGGAGTTTGATTCATGAAGGGTTTAATTTGCCTAATATAAAAGATTCACACAGGTTATATAACATCATTAAATTATTTTTGTAGTTTGAGTAGTATCCTTTGAGGAAAGCACAACTCTTTCCCTGGGGTCCATTTATCACTGTTTGCTTCTAATTAGAGAACTGGAAATGCAATATGCATGACTTAGATTTGCAGTGTTGTCTTAGCCCTCATGTATCATCCTCGTTCTTCCTCAGGAACTTTTATTTATTTCCTAATTTTTTATATAATTTTTTTAAGGTTTCTGAGAGCTGTGACTCCATCTTTGTTAATGGCAAGGAGATGAAGAGCAAAGTGGACACCATAGTGAATTTCACGTACCAGCATTTCACCACGCAGCTGGAGGTGACGGTCTGGGTGCCGCGGCTGCCGCTGCAGATCGAGATCTCCGACACCGAGCTCAGCCAGATCAAGGGCTGGAGGATCCCTGTCACCTCCAACAAAAGGTGGGTATGTCCCCAGCATGTGCCTGGGGCTCTGCTCTTACAGCTCAGCCATTTGAGAAGGAGCATTTCAAAATTGCTGTCAGCTTTGCAGTCTGCCCCAGCCTTCACTCAAACACCGGACAGTTTAAAAGGCAGAGCTTTGCCTGGAGCATTAATCAATCCCACACAATCTCAGGACATTGGATCACACATTCCTGAGGAAAAGCACCTGGACATCTCCTGTAGGTGTAACACAGCCCTGTGTGTGTATGTGTGAGACATTCAGCACTGCCAGACCTCAGTTCTGTCTGCTGGGACAAATAACAGGGCCAAGGAAGAGTTCAGGTGTCACTGTCTTGGACCAGGTGACCCAGGTCTCTTCCAACCCAAACCCTCTGTGATTCCATGGCTTTGGGTGGTTGTTGAGTCTGTGCAGACCTGGCTGCTGTATTACTTAGCAACTCTGAATTAAATAAGAAACAATTCCTACTGAAGACCATGTTCCACCAGGAAGAAGTGGACAGGGAAAAAGGAGGGCAGAGACAGTGGGGCTTCTGAGCTCTGATCCCATCATTCCCTACTGGAAATGCCCATTCTGTAATAACCATCATTTGCAAGATAGAACTTCCTGTGTTGGTGGATTTCAGGTGAAATTGGAAAATATTAATGGGGAAAAGGCGTGCCACCAGCTCAGATTTATCGCCCAGTGAAAAAGCCCTGCTGGCAGCAGCAAGGGGAGTGCTGAACTCTGTGGCAGCCCCAGCTAAAGCTCACCAGTGCCCAGGAGAACACCTCAGCTGCTGAGGAGCCTGGAGAGCCCAGACAGCAGTGGAGGAGAACTAAGGAGAACTACCCAACACTTCATAGGGGCACAGAACTAAGGGAATAGCACACAACTTGCAGGGTGGTCAGATCATGATCTCCAGAGAAGGGCAATGACTGACCTCTTGATTCTGTGCGTATTTTTTGGCTATGACAGAGGAGGTGGTGAGAATCTGGCACAAGAGAAGTTGCAGTGTTTGCTTCAGTGACAAAGGCAGGAAGAGCTGTGCCGGGTGAGGAATGAGTGGATTTAAGCTGACTGCTTAAATCTTCACTGAACTCCCTCTCCTGCCTGTGCTGTCCCAGCCCTGAGGCACAGATCCTGCTGAAAGCAGTGGGATTTTGCTGAGCACACAGCTGCAGGATTAGGCTGGTGTTTATTGCAGGAGCAGACATTCAGCCATGCTTAGCAGTCGTGGGCATTCTCAAGTTAAACCCATTACAGGCAGCGCTGGAAATTTCCCCCCTGGTGTCTCCTCCTGATTTATTTGGCCAGCTGAAATAAAGAGAATGGTCTGAGAGTCTGCTCTGCTTGCAAGCTGGCAGGCTTTGCAGAGTTTTGGTGCAAAGCATTTGCTGCTGCTTGGATTGCTCTGGAGCTGCTGGCCCACGTCCTGCAGGCATTTTCCAAAGTGTGGACACTGAGCCATCCCCCTGGAAGGTCCATGCCCACGTGAGCAGCAAAGGTTTCAACAGGAAACAAATGATCTCTCCTTTTATTGACCATTCATGGGGATTTTTAACTTTGCAGGGCTATTCTGGATCAATAGTTCAGAGCCAGCATTAGTTGTGCTCACGCTGACATTTACTTTGCACATAAGGTTTTTACATTTCCTTTATTTTTAGATTTGGATGGTTTTTACCTGAGATTTATTGGCTTTTCATTTTGGCTCTTTTTTATTATTATGACTTTTCTCTTTACTTTTTAATCTGCTTATACTTCCACCTCCTATGTGTTTCCCAAAACCCTAAACATGGGGGAGTTTATATGAGTTTTTTGGTGATAAGCTGAAGCACTCAAGACATTTGGACTGCAGTCAGGAGCTGTGGGTTTGAGAGTGAGCAGAGTGCTTTTATCTTTGCAAAAACCCCAAATCCAAGCATTTCCCAGCAGGTGAAGCCATAGCATTGTATTGTTTCAAGTTCGCCTTCATGTGAGAGCCAATATTGGCAATTTGCACGAGGTTTTTGATATCTGTCCTTGAAGGAAACCCAAGGATTCTTTCCAAAGTCGCTCACAACAGGCTTAGGCAGCCTTGGACTTAGCCCAAAAATAAACTGAGACTGTGTCACTGTTCTGGTCATGGCAGGATTGCAGTGTGGCTCCTGGTAGCTCACCTCACCACAAACAAAACAATTTCCCTCTTTGCTCCTGTCCTGCAGGGCTGGTGTCCTCACACCACTGCTTGTGCTCTCAGCAGGAACTGCACATTGCTGTAAAGTTATTCATCAACATTCAGCAGGTAAAATGATGGAATATTTTACAGGGATTGTGCAGAGACACTTCAGCAACCTCCAGAGGTTCTTTCATCTCCTCTGGCTGCGCCAGGGCCTCGTTCCCACCCCCACAGCGTGGCTGCCTGGGCCAGATGGCAAAATAGAGCTGGGTTTACAATAATCTTAAACGTGTTTATTGGTGCTGTTAGCAAAAGAAACGTTTGTGCATCAGCATAGCTGTTCTTCTTCTCATACAGCTGCTCTCCTTCAGACCTCAGAGAGTTTATGTGCCCCAGATCACATCTCTTCTTCCCAGGGATGGCTCTCCAGCCAGAAAAATGTCTTGCTGCTCCCCGTAAACCCTGCCATGTTTGTAATTGTAAAATACATGTGATTACAGACATGTTTGCCTCCCTGACTCCTTGAATGATTTCCAAAGAGCCATGAAGAAAGCAGGGTCTTTAAAAACTTTTACAAATGCCCCCTGCACAGTCTGAACTGCTGCAGGAGCAGGAACTTGTCAGAGAACAGAAAGGAAAAGACAGGCTGCTTTTATGCCAAAAACTGGGAAAAAAACCTAATTCCTCTCCCCTGTGTCAGAGCAGCAATACAATTTACCAGATCTCCTGCAAATATATGGCAAATTTTAATATTATCAGGAGGAGAACTTCATCTCTGGTGAGTGCTGCTGCAGACAGGAGGAGCCTCCCTGGGCAGGTGAAATTCAGCTCCACCATCAGCTCCTGAGTGGTGCCTGAGCCAGCACAGGCTGCACAGCCCCCCAGCCTCAGCAAACAGCAGGTGTATATTTAAATTAAAGTCAAATATTAGAGTGTAGGAGAGGTCCAGGCAGACTCTGCTAGTCTAACAAGAACATTTATTTCTATTCCTCATGCATCTGCAAAATAATTACCTTCTTCTTGAGGTTCCTGCACCAGCTCTGTGCACACATATTTACATGGCATGAGTGGCTTCAGCTTGCATTAATAGGAATTGCATGGCTAAAGTCCCACAGAACAAGCTGGCAATTTAATTTCAGTAAATATTTGCAGCTGGGATAGGACATTGTTTTCAGGAGGCTCCCAACACCACCAGCACAGGCTTCACTTCAGGCAGGGTTTATTGAGCTCTGCTTTGGTCCTGTCCAGTTCTGGAGACAAAAGCAGGAAAGCTGGCCTGGGTTAAAAGCAGGATAGAAGAAACTGCTTCAGTTAAACCCTCAGAAATAAAGCTGTGAAATTAAGAGACACTGGATTCAAACCATCCCACTGGTGGGTAACAGCATCTGCACAAAGCTGGAACATGCTGTAAATTTGCTCCTTTGGTTAATTGACTTTAATGTCCTTTGGAGATAAGGCCTTGGAGATTTTTGTTAATAGGTAGGCTGTATTTTCAAGATCTGTGAAAGTACCAAATTACATTTCTTCTTGAACTGTGAGTGGAGTTATGTGCAGCTTTATTTCTGTGGCTTCCAGTAAATCAGCTTCTAGTGGTTTGTAATTTGTATCTGAGATAGGGATGTTGGAAATGTTTTTTAAATATACGACTCTTTGTAATGAGTATTTCAAATCCAAACCCAGCAAAACTGATTTCTTTGGGGTTGTTGTTTTTTTTAAACAGAAAATTAGTGTCTGGCCCAAGAATGTGATGCCTGGTTGGAGAGGGGTGCAGATTAAAAGAGACACACTTCAACTGCTCAGAGACAAGGTCTGTAATGTGGAGCTGACAGATCACTGATTAGATCAGTGCTTGCAGGCACCCTTGGAACAGGCTGCTGCTTCAGCTCAGCTCCCTGGCAGAGCCTTTCCTCTGTGAAATGTAAATTAAATGTAATTCTGGCAACCTTGGCTCGCTCCAGAAAAGCACAAAACCTTCCAAGCAAGTTTGCCAAGCAGCAAGAAATAGGCTAAGGAGGACTCTGAGAGATTTTCAGAGATGACCAAGGGAAAAAAAGCACAATATGCAGCAATAGCTTATGTTCACCAGGACTTGTCTTGAGCAGAAAATGAGCTTCCTGCTTAATGAAGGATTTTAAGCTTACTGAAAACACTTTAATGAGGAGTTTAAAGGGAACTGTGCAATTCACTGGATCTCAAACACTGACTTACTGCCTAAATCTTGATTTTGTGGTTTTATAGTGGAAAAATTATATCCTTTGTTAAAAAACAAAACAAAACCAGAAAGAACTTGAGTTGAGACCTGGCAAAGCAGACTTGCAAAGCTTGTACTGAAAATTCAGACACCTCCCTCTCTGCACTGAAAGAACATGCCTTGCTCATCCCAGGCTTTGGAGAGGCTTTTCTGGTGCTCCACATTTGTCTGCCACAGAAAACATGTTTCTGAGCAGAAGTATATCAACATCTCTGAATGTTTTTGTGCTGAAATGGAGCCTTTGCATTTAGGATACCCCAGGGAATGGGCTGGACTTGAATCATCGTTTTGTTGTGGTAAATGCTGGCTGCCCCCACGGTCCCAGTGCTGGAAATAAGGACAGGAGTGCTCCCTCTGTGCCCCTGAGCAGCAGTCCTCCCCTCTGGTCATTCCACAGCTCATATATATCAGCTGGGGCTGGAAGAGAATTCCCTCCAGTTGTTTGGAATAGATTTCCTCTTGGACAACCCAGCAGTGCAAAGTTTTAAACAGTGAAAGTAGAAATAAACAAGGACATAAATAAAGATAACAGCAACCCATCGGATCTGAATAAAACATCGACTCACAGAATTGTTTGGGTTGAAGGAAACCTTACAGATTATCTTGTTCCAGGCCCTGCCCCGGGCAGGACAAACAGGAGCAGGAAGGGAGTGTTGTACATGATGCTGGGGTGGGGGTTGGATATGTGAACATCTCCTGCCAGCCACACCACGCTGCCTCTGCTCTCCTTTCCCATAACAAGGCTGGTTCTCATCAGTTCTGTGCTCTTTTGCCCCACATCCCACAAATGCTCCTCGCCTGAACAGCTTTAGCACGTTTTTCTGCAGTTCTGCACAGGCACTAATGGTACTGCCTGTATTATTGAGAGAGGGTCAGATCCCCAAATCCCAGAGCTGAGCTTGGTCCTGCCAAAGTCTGAGATTGCTCAGAGCTGGGTTATGGCCTGGCTGAGCTGGAGAGGGTCAGAACACAGGAATAAATTGAAAATGGAACATTAAGGAGTTCATGAATTTGTTTACAGCATGGATGGATGTGGACCACAGAAGCCCAATGAACATTCCCCTTCTAGAACTTTCTTTGTGGCTGTTCTGCCAGCTGTGAGCTGACTTCAGACTGACACCAGTGCTGGCAAGGAGAGAACAACTGAAAGTTTCCCTGAAATACCCAGCTAGTCAAACTCTCTAAGACTAATTTCTTTGGGAAATAGAAATCCTTTTTTGTAGCCTTGCCCCTAACAATTCCACTGTTATTCAATGATGTTTCACTCAGCAAGTAATGATGGACACTTGTTTTATATACACAAAACCAAAAGGCACCACAGACCATTTACTTGAGGCTGAATGTAAATATTCAGCTAACAAGTGATGCATTGAAAATGTATTTCCAGTGGATTAGGTTCTGTAACACTGGGACTTTCAGTCATTTTGAAGAGCACAAGGGTTTTTCTTAGATATGTTTTCAGCTTACTGGCTGCCAGCTTTGTCATAAAACAATTTATAACAAAAGCAATTCTGTTTTATAATAGTTTTTCATAGCTGCTATTTCAAAGGAGGAGATAAAGGGACACAGTAACCACAAAACTACCTCCTGCAATACTTTGAAAAATGAGAGACTTATCCTGTATTTCCCACCCTTGATATAGAGGTGGCTTCAGGCTCAATAAATACAGGAGGGAGGGAAATTATTTCTGAGCAATGAATCCACAGCATGGGGGCATAATGAGTAAAAGTGTGACCACCCACTGCTTAATACCTGACTTGGAAGAGATAAGAGGATCCATGTGTTTGTGCCAGGCAACGAACAAGAGAAAAAAAATATTAAATATTGGTGGTAAACTGGGTCTTCAAGCAGGTCTTCAAAAGTCTGTGAGGTGTGACAGCAGTGCTATCATGTACAAATCACTGTGATGCCTTCTCTGAGCTCCAGGGAAAGCAGTTTTATTTCACAGGTTCTATTTTGAAAGCGGACAGATAGAAAATGTGGAAGTGTGTCCAATGCTGCAGGTGTCCTGCACGGTGTAATCTGAGTCACCCTGCCTTGAGGGGGAGCCCAAATGTTTTGTTAAGAGCAGCTAAAGATTTTTTTGTGACAGAGCATTTTGAAAACTTCTTAGCTGATAGCATATTGCTAAAGTTAGACAGCTGTTCTAGCCAGTCACTGAAAGCACACCTACACCTGCTGCACACATTGCTGCCTTGTCTGCTTTCTGTTAACAGTACACAATACTTCATCATTAAGCTTAAAACCTTCAACTATCTTAAGAAGTCTTAAAGTCTATCTTAAGCAGTCTTAAAGTCTGTCTATTTTTCTGCAGTCTTGAAGTCTATCTTAGCCTAAAACTCAAGCTGATGTTTTATGTCCTTGCTTGTTATCCCACTGTAACTTTTTCTGCCTTCAGACCTTGCAGCTGCAGCTAGCTCTGAGTCTCTCTGCTCTGCCTGGCTCTAAGCTTTTCCAGCTTTGTGGGAATCACTTCCCTTTGCCACGTCCCCCAGAGGAGGTGCAGCTGGAGCTCTGCAGGGCTGGGGGGTCTGACCAGGCTGGCTGTGTTCACAGGCCCACGCGGGACAGCGAGGATGAGGAGGATGACGAGAAGAAGGGCAAAGGCTGCACCCTGCAGTACCAGCACGCCCTGGTGAGGGTCCTGACGCAGTTCGTGGCCGAGTCCTCGGAGCTGGGGGGCCACCTGACCTACCTGCTGGGCTCGGAGTGGCAGTTTGACATCACGGACCTGGTGGCCGATTTCATGAAGGTGGAGGAGCCCAAGGTGGCCAAGCTGCAGGAGGGCCGGGTGCTGGCTGGGCGAGAGCAAGGCATCACCACGGTGCAGGTACAGCCCCTGCAGCCCACAGGGGGCTCAGCCTCACACACCTGGGCTGGCAGGGCTCGGGGCTGGGGTGGGAAAGTCACTGATTGCAGGGCAAAAATAATAAAAAACAGGAAGCTGGAAAAATGGGCGTGCTAAATGGAAAGGGAAGTTTGAGCGGGATTCATTGTGGCTGTTTGTCACTTGCATAGAATGCCCTTAGGTGAAGCTTTTGGAGGGATTTGTCCATCTTAGTGTGACTGGAACGCAGGGGGATTTCCCTGGCTGGTGAAAGAGGGGACATGAGGCACACAGCCAGCTCCTTCTCACTTCACTGGGACCATGTGAGCATAACTGTGGGGAAATTGTACCAAATATCTACGTGCACCGTTACATCCTTGAACATATCTGAAAAATTAGTTCTTTTATGTTCACAAAACCGATCACAAACCATGGACACAAAAATAATCTTCAGATGCCTTTTGGGGTGTTCATGTTCCCCACTTAACCTCTGTCCAAATTCATGCACCTTCCTTAATCAAAATAAATGAATGGAAGCCCTGGGGCTCTTCTCAGGGGCTGCAAACACCTGCAATGTTCTGCTCACACTCTGGAGTCAACACAGGGATTTTAGGGCTCAGCTCCCTTCAATCTGAGATAAATGGAATAGAGAGGTCAAGGGATTTCTGCCCTTAAAATGTCTCTTCCTCTCCAGTGACCCTAAAAGAGCAGGGAGCTCCAGAACAGGGAGCTGTGCTGCAGGTTTCTCGTGTTGGATTAGACAAATCACACCTCAACTATTCTGGGCTCAAAGCAGCTGTTTCTGTCACCAGGATAAAGATGAGTCTCTTTCTGAGCATGCTGGAAACAAGGTCTTAGAGCAACTGGCAGGAGTGTTTTGGCATTGAAAAATGCAGGCAGGCACCCAGTGGGATTTCCAAAGTTCTTTTGCAAGTCTCACTTTCATTTCATTCAGGTCCTGTGCCCCTAGAAAGGCAACAGGCCAAGTTCCCATCAGCCAGGCTTTGAGCACTTATTTATCCCCTCACTGAGTTTCAGTGTTAATCAGTGTCCTACACTCTGTCCTGGCCTGCACTGCATTAACAGGGAGTTTTATAGACCCCACAAAAATGACTTTCAAAAGACCCCAAAGATCCATTTAATTAATTCTATATCATATATATTTTTGTCAAGATCAAGCTGCATTTTTGAAGTGATTTGTTGTTTTAATAAATTATTTTTCAGATAAAGTAATTTAGCAGCAAATGAGTGTAATATCTTGGGGGAAACATCAGCTCTGGCTTAGACATGGAAATGACAAACCCAGGATTAATGTGGTGTGCTGGTCAGAGGCCAGCCTGGCTTTGAAACACTTCATTGCTGTTTCATGCAGGGCTTTTCCTCTCTCCTGCCAGGTGCTGTCCCCTCTCTCGGATTCCATCCTGGCAGAGAAGACAGTGATAGTTCTGGACGACAGGGTGACCATTGCTGACCTGGGGGTGCAGCTGGTGTCAGGCCTGTCCGTGTCCTTTCAGAGCAGCAAAGGGAACAAGAGAGCCATCCTTGCCACCACCTCTGCCCACGACATCCTGCGCACTCCCAAACAGGTACACCCCAAAAACGCATCATTTCATTTCATGCTCCCTCTGCTCTGGCAGAGGAATTTGCTGTACATTTTAGGCAGCAAATATAATGAATATATGGCTGTGAAAAGCAGTAGAAAAGGCTGTTCATCTTCCTGACCCCTGCACAGTGACCCCTGCACTCTCTTCCCAGGGCAGCTCACAGCACAGGGAAAGGGATGCACAGTGCCAAACAAACATGGATGTGCCACAAAAATCTCCTTTTCTGTGGGGAAATGCAGCCTAGCTGTGCAAGCAGGGCTGGAATGCCAGTCCTTAATTGTCTCACAAAGGCAGCTCAGCCAAAACGACCTCTGGCTGCAGGTGCAGAAGTTTTCATGACCTGCAGTGCTGAAAACTGATGAGTTTGTGCTTACTTTGAACCATATAATTTGAGGAATTAAATAGCTTTTAATGAGACCACAGAACAAATTCTGGATGTGGTTTTTAATAGATTCCATAGAACTGAGGTTATACATCAGTGCAGAAAGTGTAACTATATTTTTTGCACTAGCAATTCGCAGCAAGAAGACAAATTGGTTTGGTCAAACATAAAAATGGTGTTTTTTATGAGTGTTTCTACAGTTCCCAGGAAAGACCACAATCCCTTTTGCATATTGCAAGTCCTGCACATTTGAAAGCATGACAGAAATATAAAGTACTGCACTGAGATGTGTTCTCCTCCCAGTTTGTTCCATGGGCTGGATGGGCTCGCTGGCCCGACACATTCCAGCCCTGCTCATTGCATTCCACGAGGCCCTGGAACTGCAGCATTAGAGAAATTCCCCATTATGGTCCTTTACAAACCTAATTGACCGTGCTGTTGGAAATATGATTATTTTCATCATAAGGCTCCGGCACTCAAAAGAAGCTTCTCTCTTCAGACTGAGAAAAAAGAATCGTCAATTGTTTTTTTCCAGCATTTTTATTAAATTTACATGAGTGTTTCTTTGATAGTTCCTGAAGGTGAGGTAAATGCCTCAGTGGTCTAAAGAACACGAGCCTGCAAGAAAATGAGCAGCAGAGTAGACATTTCCATTTTCTTTAAAAAAACAAACCAAAAACAAACCCTGAAGTTAAATCTGTATTCTTTTCAGACTTTAACAACAGTGTCTGATTTGTGCTCTCTCTCTCACCTGTTTTCCCCCATCCTGTCCCACCAGGAGGCTGTGGTGAGTGCTTGGGTTCTGTTCAGCGACGGGGCGGTGACGCCCTTGGACATCTACGACTCCAAGGACTTCTCCATGGCCATCACCTCCCTGGATGAGATGGTGGTGTCCTCACACCAGAGCCTGCAGTCCCTCTGGCCCGTGGTGGTGGCAGAAGGGGACGGGCACGGGCCCCTGATCAAAATTGAGATGGTGATCAGCGAGCCCTGCCAGAAGACCAAGCGCAAGAGCGTTCTGGCCATGGGGAAAGGAAACGTCAAAGTGAAGTTTGGTCAGAAGGATTCGGACCAGAAAGGGAGCACCAACGACATCGATGATGTGGAGAAAGATTTTAAAAGCCATGCCAGCAATGCCATAGAGAAAGCTGCAGAGCAAGAGAGGACAGCACAAGACTGGTCCAAAAACCACGAGGACGTGTCCGGTCCTGAGGACAATGCAAACAAAAGCACAACTTTCATCTCTCCCATTGATCAGGAGTCCCTGGAGGATGGCCAGCTTCCAAACAACCCAACTGCCTTCACAGGTTTCCCTGCCCAGGTAGAAATACCAGGAGAAAGCAATCCCAGTGACCTCTCATTGACTTCCAGAGGATTGACAGACCTGGAGATTGGCATGTACGCTCTGCTCTGTGTTTTCTGCTTGGCAATCTTGGTGTTTCTGATTAACTGCGTGGCGTTTGCTTGGAAGTACAGGCACAAAAGGTTTGCTGTGAGTGAGCAAGGCAACATCCCCCATTCCCATGACTGGGTCTGGCTTGGAAATGAGGTGGAGCTCCTGGAAAACCCAGTGGACATTTCGCTCCCATCGGAGGAGTGCACTACCATGATTGACAGAGGGATGCAGTTTGAAGAAAGCAACTTTCTCCTTAATGGGAGCTCTCAGAAGACTCTTCATAATCATATCCTCAGATCTTCTGAGTACCTTTGTGAAAAAGAAGTTAAAAGTGAACCTATAAATCCTTCTGGGCCAAAGCAGAAGCGAGTAAAGTTCACTTCATATACAACAATACTGCCAGAGGATGGAGGCCCCTACACCAACTCAATTCTATTTGACAGTGATGATAATATTAAATGGGTATGCCAAGATATGAATCTTGGTGATTCCAAGGAACTTAGGGACTATATGGAAAGACTGCAAGACAATATGTAAAACTACTTTCTTATGTTTGTAATCACCTTTATGCCTTCTGTTTATGGATGGTGGAGCAGTCAGTCCAGTCAGCAATAGGAACAAGACAGCCCAACCCTGGAGGTCCTGAGATGATAACCTGATGGCAGAGAGCAGGTCCAAGAGGCTGGCTGAGTTAATCCTGTTTCACCACAAACCAGGATGTGCCCCTAAAGCAGCTCCCTGTAGGTGTTGGAGGTGTCACACACGATGGCTGTTGCTGTGTACTGCCTGGTTCTAGCAAAACGCTGATCCACCTGCGCTCAGACTCAGAGGAGACTCCATTTGTTGGTCATCTCTCATGAGAAATGGTCAATGAGAAAAGAAAGGGATGTTTGTTTGCATTGATTTTTTCTAGTCGTCGTCCTTTGTAAAGCACAGTGGACATTTCTTGCTCACAGCCTGAGAGGAGGCTCATGGAAAAAGGGATTGGAATGAATCTCATTTTATTGCCTATGTGCAATGCAGCCAAGTAGTCTTATTATTTTTTACAGATATAAAAAACCCCATGTGGTTAATTTCTTCTTATATTGTTTGTGAATTTTATTTGACTTAGGGAACATTAAATATTTTCTTTGAAGGGGTTCGGGTTTTTTTTTGGTTGTACCAAAGTGTAGTACAGTAATATTTATAATGATTTGATCTGCTTCAGCCCCCAGAGATACCTCCTTCATCACTGATTATCTTCCTCCTTTCCATATGGGTTGTTAGTATTTGAAACATAGAAAGGAATTAGAACTCTTACTGGGAAAGGGTTGTGTCTTCTTACAGGGAACTGTAAATATAATAATAAACCCTGGAAAATAAAAATCAAGGAGTAGCCCTGGGTTCACTTTTGTCATTGCTAATATGAAAAAATAACCTGTAAAAACACCCAGCACATACTTCAAAGGGAAATACTTTGCTGAAACAGTAGCTTGGCTGACAATACCTGTTATTACCTGAGTGGGAAAGTCAAATGTGGCACTGGAATGCATAAAGTGGGAAGGAAAATTTCCTAGGAAATAAGCAAAGCTTGGAGTCACTGTTTCTCTGTGCTAATGAATCCACTGGGGGTAGAGTTCAGCAGGCCAGAGAAGTTCATGCTCAGCAGCCTTGTCTAAACATCCCTGGCCATGAAGCCATTAAAGAGAAAAACTTTACACCATTTTCATTAAAAAGGGAAGAAAAGACACATTGGGACTGCAGCCACACAAGGGACTATCCAATTTTATCAAGGAAAACAAAGCTGCCATTTCATATGCATCACATCTATTTTTTTACTGAAGGATGGCTGAGATAAATTAAAAATTACAGTGAGGAAAAACCTGAATCTACAGAATACTCAAACCCCCCAAACAAATCACATGTTCTTGTGATGGATCCTGTGCAATAACCGCAAGAGCCAAATTCCAACTGCCTTACATACTGGAGTTCCCATCCTTTAGGCAGATCAAAGCAAGATTTGAATTTATATATAAACCAGAAAATTGTAGGAAATTCTGCATTTGGGTCCTAACCACAACTGGGAACATATTTAATGTAACTGCTGCAAAATACAGGAATTTTAACACTGAGACTAGAAGTGAGGACACCAGGCTTATATAAGTGATTATAGACTTGCTTTTGCTGGCACTGAACTGCACAGGGAGGAGATGGCATCTGTTATAATCTAATTTTGAGGAGAGAAAATAATAGAGCACAGATATGCTTCTGTTTCATAAGGGATGCAGCTCTTGTGCGTCAGATGAAGTCTTGGGTTGTTTAACAAATGTTCTCTCCCCTTTCAGTGATCCAGGAAATAAGGAAAGATGAATTCCTACAATGATCCTTATCACTAACAACATAAAAACCCTTTTTAGAATCTAACTTCTCTTTCCAATGCATTATTTGGCCCAACCGGAGAGCAGAACAAAAAAAATCCCTATTTACTATTGTTTGCACAATATACTGACCCAAACTGACCACAGATTGATTGACTCTTGAAATCAGAGCAACCAAGCTCTGCTGGCAGGTGCAGAGGGCAAAGCGCCCAAAGAGCAAAGCCTCCCTCAGCCAGCGGGGCCGTGGCCTCAGGGAGAGCTGTTTCCTCATGGAAGTGTTTCCTTCCACTCCCTCTGAGGCTCTGTCTCCTCATGGGAACCTTTCCTTCCACTCCCACTGAGGCTCCACTTCCTCATGGGAACCTTTCCTTCCACTCCCACTGAGGCTCCTCATGGAAACCTTTCCTTCCAGCCCTGCTTTGGGTTCCATTTCCTCATGGAAACCTTTCCTTCCACTCCTGCTTTGGGTTCCATTTCCTCATGGGAACCTTTCCTTCCAGCCCTGCTTTGGGTTCCATTTCCTCATGGGAACCTTTCCTTCCAGCCCTGCTTTGGGTTCCATTTCCTCATGGAAACCTTTCCTTCCAGCCCTGCTTTGGGTTCCATTTCCTCATGGGAACCTTTCCTTCCACTCCTGCTTTGGGTTCCATTTCCTCATGGGAACCTTTCCTTCCACTCCTGCTTTGGGTTCCGTTTCCTCATGGAAACCTTTCCTTCCAGACCTGCTTTGGGTTCCATTTCCTCATGGAAACCTTTCCTTCCAGCCCTGCTTTGGGTTCCGTTTCCTTATGGAAACCTTTCCTTCCAGCCCTGCCGAGGCTCCATCTCAGCTGGAGACTGTCCCTTGGAGGATCCCAAAGTTCAGGGGCTCCCTGCTGACACCCCAGGGCGTCCCTGATGCCCAGTCCCTGGCTGTCCCTCGTGCCTGGGCAGTCAGGGAGGGGCCAGAGCCACCAGGGGACACCTCTGGCCTTTCCAGAACTTTCCTGGTGCTCCTGGGTGTGGCTGACCCCAAACCCATTGGGGCAGGAGGTCACAGGTGACCCTCAGTGTTCCAGGTGCCACTGAGGGTCAGCTCCTCAGGGAGGTTTGGGCAGCTCCGTGGCTGAATTTGGGCTGGTTTTAGAGCCACAGGGGTGGTGTCCTCCTCTGCCCTAGCTAAATGACAATTCCTGCCCATCAGGAGGAGCACAGCTGCTGCTGGGAACCAGTTAAACACTGGAACTGGGAACCAGTTAAACCATGGAACAGAGAACCAGTTAAACACTGGAACTGGGAACCAGTTAAAAAATGGAACTGGGAACCAGTTAAACACTGGAACTGGGAACCAGTTAAACCATGGAACAGAGAACCAGTTAAAAAATGGAACTGGGAACCAGTTAAACCATGGAACAGAGAACCAGTTAAAAAATGGAACTGGGAACCAGTTAAACACTGGAACTGGGGACAGCTGTCCCCAAAAAGACCCCAGTCCTCAAATCTTGCAATAGGGGGACAAAAAGAAAGGTCTGCAGGTTCATAAATTTTCTTTTTCTTTTCCATCACATGTCATCACATGAAAGCTCTTACATGGAAAATGGCAATACAACCATGGAAAAAAAGCAATACAGAAAAAGAGAGAAGAAGTGGGAAGAGAGAACTCTCTATTTTCAGTAAAACTGGGATAACACCAATAAAGTGGAGTTATTTTATCCTGGTTTGAGCCTTTATGCTACTTCTCGTAAGATGAAAGGAAAATCTATTCAACATGAATGTATCTGATGCAAAACAGTTCTGAGTTGATCAGTTCCTTTTAAATTAAGTATCTAAATTTTAATTTCAAAATTATGGCACTCTATAAATTTAAGTAAATTAAATTTTAAATTATTTTAAACTCCTCCTCCCCCCCAGTTTTCCCACTCACCTAAATATTTTTCAGTGTTGCTGTTAAATACAATATTTTATTTATGGAATATATAATATTCCACTTTGCTGTTAACTGAACAGCATTTACACATTGATGAAAGAGTCTCTGCTTTTGAGAGAACAAAGCAATGGTAGCCAAGTGATCAAAAGGCACAAAATGTATGTATGTAAGTACGTGTGCAGGAAAGTAGAATTGTCTGCAAATAGGAGCAGATGAATTAGAATGCTGCTTCAGTAGGTGCCTAGGGAAGCAATACCTGTGATTCGAAAATACCAAACCAACGCAAACTCTGACTGCTGGGGGTGCACAGAGGGCTTTGCTGCCCTCAGGGTGTGTGAGAACATCCCGCAGGAGAGCCCAGAGCAGCCCTGGGGGCACAGAGGGGTTAACGGGACATGCAGAGCAGCCCTGGGGGCACAGAGGGGTTAATGGGACATGCAGAGCAGCCCTGGGGGCACAGAGGGGTTAACGGGACATGCAGAGCAGCTCTGGGGGCACAGAGGGGTTAACGGGACATGCAGAGCAGCCCTGGGGGCACAGAGGGGTTAACGGGACACGCAGAGCAGCCCTGGGGGCACAGAGGGGTTAACGGGACATGCAGAGCAGCCCTAGGGGCACAGAGGGGTTAATGGCACACGGGGAGCTGCAAACTTTGAAAACAAAGCTGGTGGCAGCCCCCAGCCCTGCCAGGGCAGCAGGGACAGGGTGTGCACAGGACAGGGAAGGGAGAGCTGCCAGTTCCCATGGGCAGAACCTTTTGTTTCCTTCGCCCACAGTGCCCAGCCAGGGCTCCCTGTGCCCCTTCCCCATTCTTAGGGTCCCTGCCAGCTCTTGGGGCTCCCTGTGCCCCTTCCCCATTCTTAGGGACCCCTTAAGGACCCTGTCCAATTCCTGGGGCTCCCTGTGCCCCTTCCCCACCCCATAGGGACCTTTGGGGCTCCCTGTGTCCCTTCTCCATCCCTTAGAGACCCTGCCCCACTCTTGGGGCTCCCTGTGCCCTTCCCCACCCTTAGGGACCCCTTAGGGACCCTGCCCCACTCTTGGTGCCCCTTCCCCACCCTTAGGGACCCCTTAGGGACCCTGCCCCACTCTCGCCCCCCTGTCCAACCCCCCCACGTTCATGTTTGGAGCTGCTGGTCCTTCACTCATCCTGGGGAATGTACAAGCAGACCTTACAGCCATAGACAGTGCAAAGAGTCCATCAGAGAATGGAGAGACCCTTGTCTGGCGAGGTGGGGTGAAAACCCCCCCAAGGAAATGCAGATTTTTCCTAGCAGATGTGCTCTTCTATGGATTATAAATCATGTGCACTACATTGAAATACACGGGAGTGTATTGTGAACTGCATACATTAACTGCTGAATGATAACACTGGAAATGTATATACATCACACCCCAGATATTTATACAATATAATAAGTCTTAGATGTATAACATAATGAATTCTGTACAAAATAAACTGTAAGTTAAGACAATGAAACAGAACTTTTATATCTGTGTAATTTGTATGCTGATTAAGTTATTCAAGCTTCAGTTTTCATCTTTTAATGTGCCCTTTAAAAAAATACTTATTTTCTATAGGCAGATGTCTGAAATAAAGACTTGAGTCTTCAGAAGAGAAGCAAATGAAAGACTGAAAGAAACAGATTTTGCTGGAGAAATAAAAATAATGTTCATGTGGTTGTTTTTTTTTTAAAAACCATTTGTGTTGGTGCTGGTCAGGGTGAGCTGCTGGCTGGGCTGAGGGTGATGCGCCCCTGCCAGGTGAGCAGAACCAGCAGGGAGGATTTCTCATTTCCCCTTCCCCAGGTGTTTCCTTCCCCAAAGCAGCACAAACCCCTCTCCAAAGCTGCACAAATCCCTGCATTACCCAGCCCAGGGTTTGTCCCCTGCCCCAGGAGTGAGCCTCCCACATGAGCAGAGTCTTG